AGATGCTGTTATTAGGTACTATCTGGGGGTCACTCAATGCTTTTCTGGAATCTTATTTGTCAGTCAAAGGAGGGTGTTCCTTTGGCTCAGAGACTTTCTTAGAGAACGTGGCAACACATGGTTTGTGTTCTATGGAAATGTCAGTTGCTGGGCAGGGTTTAGATTTCCCTAGTCCCACCTCTGCCCTTGCATTCCAGCTCAGTGGGCAAGCAAAACAGTAGACATTTCTGCTGCTCTCAACCCTGCTACATTTCTACCAAAGGCTTCCAACAGCAACATGAAGTTGGGAGGTTTCTTTATCCTTTGACTCTTCTGGTCTTCAACTTAGAAGTACAGTAGTTTCAGGCTGCTGCAAGCTGCTTGAAAATTCTGGGTGAGTTCAGGCAGTAGGCAACCTCATTCTTTCTTGAATAAGGAAGCCAGAGAGTGGGATATGAGGACCAGTGTGTTCAGCAAAGGATAGGGAAAAAGACAAAAATGTTCTCCTTAGGAGACACTGAAGGGTCATACCAGTTAATGCACTACCAGCTAACCAGTCCAGAATCTCTCTGCTTCAGGCCCCACTTTCTGTTCCTCCTTTCTCTGGGCCATCTCTCCATCCAGACTCTCTACTCCTCCCCTCCTGCCCTTCTGTAACAGTGCTCTGTCATCTCCCTCTCCTGGGGCTTCTTGCCTCTTGAAACAAATCAATTAGATCATCTAGAGAAAACATTTTCATAACCACATTAACAACAATCACCTTAATCCAGTGATTCCTTTTACCACCAGCATTCTCCAAGGAATAGTCTTTATTCCCTGCCTTGGTTCCTCTGTAATGATTCCTGAGCTCCTTGAAACTAACTTGATAAGATCATGAGGGCCTGAGGAGTTTGGACATCATTTAGTAGGCCAAAAAGAAAGTATTGCCACTTCCTTGGGAAGACTGTTTTGGTTGAGCCTGCATTCCTGCTCCATCACTCTCCTGAAACTTCTCTCCTAGGCCCCATGTCCTGCGTCTCCTCAGGTGTCAAAGTCTGTAGCTTCTGCATGTTCTCTGTTTGCCACTCCCTCAATACTCAAGATTTCTCCTCTCTTGGATTCTCTCTCACTATATCTTTTGCTTTTCCTTTCCTTTCCCAAAATATTACTGTATCTAACTTTCACTCCTCTCACTTCTTTGCTCCTCTTTCCTTACACTGAACTGGTTGCCAAATACAGCCCACTTTCTGAAGTGGTCTCTTGCTTGTGTTCTTTCCTGTTAGGCCCCCTACTAAACTGTATTTCCTGCCTTGATGACTCCATGCTTGAGCTATCACAGGTCCCTGAGTGGTACAAAATGTTTCTGCTTGACTGCTAATCTATTGTTGGCAGTTCAATCCCACACGTGGATTGAACCATGAAAGAAAGACCTGACAATCTGCTTCTGTAAAGGTTACAGCCAAGGAAATTCCATGGAGCAGTTCTATTCTGTAACACACGAATCTTGTGTTTTGTAACTAACTCATGGGTCGTCATGAGTCCGAGTTGACTCGATGAGGGGTTTGGCATTTATTTTTGGAGTCATTGCAATAACTCCCAACAACTCTCCTTACCCCCTCTTTCTTCTGAAGTTTGCTTGTTTGTTAAATCCTAGAACACAGACCCTGTATAGGTTTCCGAGGAGCAATTGATAGGTTTGAACTGCTGACTTTGCTGTTAGCAGTCTAGTGCTTATCCTACAGAACCACACCAGGACTCCCATACCCTTTTATAGCATTCTGCCTATACCTTTCTAAGATCACTTATCACATACTGCTTTGTTTTCTAGTGTTTTGGATAAAAAATTTCTCTCTTTTATCATATTAGAAATTGCTTGAAGGTAACGATGCTGTTTAAAAAACATTTTCTTTTCTTTTTTTAAAATAAATTTTTATTATGAACTGAGTGATAGTTTACATGGGAGAACATCGGTTTTTCATTGCAATGATTACAATCTCCTCTGTGCATTAACGTTAATAGTATTTGCTTCT